ATTTCCTCCTCCTCATCTCCAGAGTGCACTTCTCTCTTGGCCAGGCAGCAGCTCCCTAGTCTGTAGCAGCTCTTGAGATGTTCCACTTCAAAATGCTGCCCAGGAGCTTGGTGACTCTCACCCCACTGTGCTGGGCTACTGTTGTCTCTTCTGCAACAGCGTTCAAACTCCTGAAGGGACGCTGGACCTCATATCTCACACATCTGTTAACGGTACTTCCCCTCCCCCAGCAGTGGCATGGTCCTGAATTCAGATAGAGTTTTTTTTTTTAAGCCTCACCCAAGGACATTTTTGCATTTATCTTCAGATAGAGTGGGAGGGTGAGAGAGAGGAAGAGAGAGAGAGAAACATCAATGTGAGAGAGACACATCAACTGGATGCCACCCACACAGCCAACCGGGGCTGGGGACAAACTGCAACCGAGGTACATGCCCTTAGCGGAAACCGAACCCAGGTCTCTCTGGTTCGCAGGCTGACGCTCTAACCGCTGAGCCAAACTGGCCAGGGCTCAGATAGAATTTTGAACATAAAGCACGCTATTTTTAAAAATGGCCCAGCTGGTGTGGCTCAGTGGTTGAGTGTCATCCCATGGACTGAGAGGTCCCAGTTCAGTTCACAGTCAGGCGCATGCCTGGGTTGCAGGCTCTATCCCCAATTGGGGGCATGCAGGAGGCAGCCAGTCGATGTTTCTCTCTCACAATGATGTTTCTATCTCTCTCTCCCTTCCTCTCGCTCTCAAAAAAAGAAAAAAAGAAAGAAAATATTGCTTTTCTTTGTCAGTGAAACAATCACACATGCTAATTGTAAATTTATATATTTATTTATTCATTCATTCATTCATTCCTCACCTGAGGACATTTTTCCATTTTTGTTCAGATAGAGTGGGAGGGAGAGAGAGGAAAAGAGAGAGAGAGAAACATCGATCTTGAAAGGGACACATCGAGTGGCTGCCTCCCGCACAACCCCAACCGGGACCAGGGACAAACTACAACCGAGGTGCGTGCCCTTAGCGGGAACTGAACCTGGGTCTCTCTGGACCGCAGGCCAACACTCTAACCGCTGAGCCAAACTGGCCAGGGCTCGTTGTAAAAATATTTAGAAGCATTTGTTATCAGTGGGGTGCTTTCTGTGTCCCCACATGTTACTGGTGGAAGTGGAGCTCTTGAAGTGTTGTGAGTAACAGCAGCTGCTTAAGGCCTCACGGGCCAGGGCACGGGTGAGTGTGGGCCACGGAGCAGTGAGAACAGGAGTGCAAGAGCAGACGGGCAAGGGGGCGAGAACGGAGAACTCTTTGTCTTGGGGTTATAGCGAGGAGGTTAACCAGTTGATCCTTCAGGATTTCACAGACTTGCAGTAGCTCTGCCCCTCTAGCCAGTTATCTTTTCCTCAGGTTAGACTGCCCAGCAGGTACCTTTTCTACATCACCCCAACTTCAACTACCCATGCACCCATCTTCCCCTTTGTTTGACCCCTTTCCCCAGTGATTTTCAGGAAATGGACTGATGATTCCTTGTGGGGTACGAAGCTGCAGCTTCCTGGCGAAGTTACCCAGATGACCATGCTTATGATGTCTGGCTTCTCTTCCTATTATTAATATTAATAACTAGCTAGTTAACAACAGTAACAATTTCAGAAGTATAGAAAAAAAGTCTCTTGTAATGTCATTGTTCAGAAGCACCTATTTTGTATAAGAAAACGTGACTTTTGAGACAAATTTGGGATTGTAAATAAATGAACGCTTATTTAACGTCACAGTGTTTCAGCCCCTGCCCCCAATTTTTTTCTTTAGAGAAGACACAGGGGAAACTGGAACTCATTCACTCCTGATTGAGATCATGTGGGTCTTCTCCACTCAGCTTTTGCAGGACGTGGAAAGTGGAGATAAATTCCTTTAGAAAACAGTCTCCTTTTAGTCGCAGATTTAGCAGAAATGTTATTACATATCTATTGTTTGAATTCAAAGTGCTTTTCTCAGTTTCTTAAAACACCACCTAGAGAGAGCTGTAGTGTTCTGTTTGCCCTGGAGATATACATTGGGAACAAAACTGAAGTCAGTTCCTTCACTTTTTACTGATTTGGCTCTTAGTAATTATCCCTTCTTCTACTAAACAAGAGAAGACAGATTAAATTTCTAACAGTAAGGCACAAAACCAATCCATTTACAGAATTAGTCTTACATTAGCACATAGGAGTACAAATCAGCCTCCCAGGGGATGGATCCATTTGCAATTTCTCTTAGCATTTTTGGAGTAAGTCCAGTAGACTTTGGGAAAATCTAGTATTCACTGACTTTGAATTAACAAAGTAACTTGACTCCTTTGTGGTTTTTTGTGTATTTTTTGGGGAGGAGGGGGCTTGATTGAGAAAGTATTGATTTTTATATCTGTCTATATTTAGGGTTGTGGTTCTCAACTTTTAGGATCCCTGAGAAAGAGATGCTTGGAAATTTGGGGCATTAGGTCTGGGAGACCCTTGTTTTTTTGTTTTTTTTTTTAATGCCGCAGATAATTTTGATGTGTAATACAGGACAGGAGTTATCAGTAGAGGTAGAGAATCAATATCTGAGCCATTAAATAATTAAAAGCCAGGTTGTTTGTTACCAAAAAGATGTTTTTCTTAAATTTGAAGGAATGTTAATATTTTGAATGTATTGCTCTCCTGTATAATGAATTTGGCCATTCTTACATTGCTTGGCTATTAATGTGAAATTATTCTTTCTAAAAATTTTAGTCATACTGACATTTTTATAGTGGGGCCAAGTTTTCCTATATTAATATTTCCAGTGTCTTTAATCTCTTTCTTCCTGGAATATCTTTTTTCCTGAAATATCAGCTTTACTGTTTCCATGTTTTAAAGTCAGTATAGATACAGACTTGGTTGATGTGCCCTATAACTTTTTGGATGTACTTCAAAATAGCTTAAGTGGAAGTCTGACAGTACCTTTTAGATGACAAGGTATTTCTGTGCACATTAGTAACAAGTAACATTTTTTACTAATACTACAAACTGTGGGAAGCACCAAAGCCCGTGCCTAAGACATTAGACTGCTGCTGTTAGGGCAGGGTGTGGCTCAGTCTTCTTATCAAATCACCGTCCCTGTAAACAAGTTGCATTTTCAACCTCGAGGTCAAACATGCTCATAACTCTCAATCTTTAGTAAGGCGTTTCCCAAGTGATGCCTTACTAATAGTAACACCGTCAAGTTTGTGAATGATTGACTTCACCTTGAAGCTACTTTAGTTGTTTTGTTTTGTTTTTTGGTATAATAATGCCACTGTGATTTACCTGTATTCTATTATGTCTCCTCCAGTAGAGGGGAGGAAAGTAGGGTACCTGATGTTCCCAGAGTTGTGCATAAGAACACTTGGGAATGTGTTGAACACAGGACTATCATGGATCATGTCTATAGCTTTGGAAAAAAAGGTTGGAGTTTTTCATGAATCAGGCCCTGAAATTGAGATTCGCATGCAGGTGGTTTAATGGGTTGGCCTTTCTGAGAGGTCCAAGTAGAGGGTAGGGGGCCAGGCCTCTGTGTTCTAGGTATTGATGAGTCATTGGATGTAGACTACCCTCCAGGAGGGGATGTAACCTTGGACAAAGCAGCTTGTTTGGCTAAGGGCAGTGCCTAAGAAGGGACTCAGCTGTGAGCCAGCAGCAGGCAGCATTCTGGGCATCTGCCGAGATGAGTGTCGTGGACCCAGAGGGGCCATAGAGTGACCCACCGCAGCATTCACTCCAAGAGCCCTTGGTAGACTGTCTTGCCAAAAAGATTCCAAGTGGTGCACCATGAAACTTCAGCATTTGGTTTCTTGACCTTGTGGCTCTACATATTTATTAAGATATAGACCTTCCTTTAGTATATTGGTTTCCCCTTTTTTCCTGCCATTCCCCAACTGGTGGTAGCAACAGGGAAGGTTGTTTACATAAAAGTTTGGGCCTTGATCTGTTTGGGATGGATCATCATTTTGGAGTTTAGATGTAATTCTAAGAGCCCAGTGATTTTAAAAAATGTTTGATTTTGTAATATTGGTGTTGACATAATTTTAATCAATGCTTTGAAACAGTTGTCATCCTTCAGAACTTGTAAATGACCAAGAACTATCACAACTGGTGAGACCAGCAGGGTTCATGTGTTGGTATGGGAGCTGCAATACCCCAACTGGTTATTGCACCCTGCTGGCTGTACCCTTTTCATTCACTGTGGTATAACTGTTTAAAGTTGATTATTCTTTTTAACAAGTCCTCTTGGACAAGACCTGTTATATGGATATAGTCAGTGTTCAGACTCCTGGATGATTTAGTCTCTGTTATACCATTTCCTTTCCTTTGTCACCAACTATTAGCTGTTTATAATACAACAAGGGGAGACAACTTTCTGTGTGAACAACAAGGTGGTATGGGCGAGCATGGGTTGTGGACCTATAATTAACAATTATTTGATGCCCAGCTGGTGTGGCTCAGTGGTTGAGTGTCGGCCCATGCACAAAGAGGTTGCCAGTTCGATTCCCAGTCAAGGCACATGCCCGGGTTGCAGGCTTGATCCCCTGTAGGGGGCGTGCAGGAGGTGGCTGATGTTTCTATCTTTCTCTCCCTCTCCCATCCTCTTTCTCTCAAAATCAGTAAAGACACATTCAAAAAATTCAAAACAAAAAATACCCCACAATTGTTGGTTGAAGGAAAAGGGAGTTGAAGTGTCACTCAAGGAAAGAAAATGGCAATATTAACAATTCGTTATTGTAGGCTTAGCCCTGGTACTTGTGCCAAGCCCTTTCCCTGTAACATTTCATTTCATTTCATTCTTAATAACATACCTGTTCTCAGGGTAGCTATATCTGTTTTGCAGGTGAGGAAACAGACTCAGATGCATTTATCCTGGTCTCATGACTAGTCAGATGGTAGAGCCAGGATGATCAGTTTGAATCTTTGCTCTAAATTTCTGTGCTGTGCTGCATCCCAGCGATCTCGGTGGTTGTGATCAAGGAGGATAGTGGCAGGGTTGGGAATGCTAAGGTAGAGACACTCTTTTCCAGGACGAGAATAGAGAACTGCCCAACTGAAGAGGCACAAGAGGGAAGGCTCCTGCCACCAGAAGTGTGACATTTCTGCACCAGAACAACTACAACCAGAGGTGATTTCTCATGCTTCTTCACAGTAGTGTCAAGCCCAGACACCAGTTTATAGTGTGTCCCGAAGGGACTGATTGAAAACAATGCTTGGCACGTCTCTTAACCATGAAAAGCTGAGCTCATGAGCGCAGGCTTTTCCTCGCCATCATTCTGCTTGTATGAGGATAAAGAACATTTTCTCTTGTTTCTTTTATGAGTTAGTGAGGCAGACTTCTTCACCTCACCATAGTCAAATAATCCAGAAGAGAAAGCAGAAAGAAGGCCAAGGTTGCACATGATAGTCTCGTTGAGGAGTCTCAGTCACATCTGGACTAGAGAAAGTGACGCCTCTTTTTCTTGATGAGTGTAGCCAGTTAGTTGTAGGAGAGGACCTAGGCTGACATTAGACCGATGGCTTTTCATTATTTTTTTAGGCAAGAACCCCTTTGTCTTGCAATTACACTTGCAGATTTTTTCCTGTTGTTTTTTTCCCCCTGTATAGCCAACATTTCTCTCTTGATTTAACATTCTGTTCCTTCTTTCCCCACAGAGAACTGTCAACTCTTACTCTTTTTTCCTCTAGAGATCATTTTTGGCCTCACACTTAGCCTTGTACTGTTTTTGTAGTTGAATACATTTCCTTTTTATGCCCTGGATTATCTTTTAGCCCTGAGACTCCTAGATGAATGCAAAACATGATTCCAGAAAACTCTTTACCTTGAATCTTGGTAGGGTTTAAATTGGTGCTCACACCGCCTTAAAAATGCTGAGACTATTTTCAGTTTTGAGTCGTCAGCCTTGCAATTAATGACTGTTGTATTTGAATGATGAATTAATTTGTTTGCAACCAGTAAGTCACTGATGTCAGCCAAAGCTATTAAAGATGAATTTTATTAAGCAAGTTCTGTTGGGACAGAGAGCGCTGCTTTGCCTAGCTTTGCAGAAGCAAACTCCAAAGCGAGCTTTGGCAGGTAGATTTGGGAACAGGCAGAAGGGTACATATGCACACTTGGTTTTCTTTTCTGTTTCACACTCATATTTCTTTGTGCTACCGGGATCGTCATGACAGCCTTATCTCTCAAATAAAGGCTGTTACCTCATCCCTAATTGCTTATCCAAAGGCAGGCGAGCTCTAATTTCTCCGCATTAATAAATGACACCGAAGAAGAACTGCTTTGTTTGCACTGGCTCATGCAGGTTAACCAGTGCGAGCCCCCGAGTGCATTAGGAAACCTCGTGCTGCTCCCACGACCAAGGCGGGCTGGTGTTCACCTCACTCAAGAGCAGCATTTCATTTGTTTACTTTTCGCTCATGTTCACAGCCCTATTCCCCTTTTCCTGATGGAAACACTCGAGTGACCTAGGTCAGCATTTCTCCTGCAGCTGTGGGGTGCTCACTCCCGTCCAAGTTGGGGGGTGGTAGCAGTTGTCCTAAGAGGACGGACCAATGGTTGACCTGGTTTCATGGCTCACTCTCTTGGCTGCCTGCTGCTCACCTTTCCTTAGAGGCTAAGAGGCTTTCTACAAACCTCTGCAGACACCTGAGGGATCTACCAGGCTGTAAGATGGCACCTGTTTCTCCCTTTTGAAGCATAATGAGAAATGGTGTTGTGGATTTCATACGTGACTGTGAGGGTAGACTTGCGGGAGTCAGAGAATTGAGAATGGTTGTTAAGTTCTGAATTAGTTCTAGGACTGTGCTTTCCTGAATAGTGAGAATGCTTTGCTCCTCTTGGGAAACACCATCACCGCTCATTGCCACCTGTGAATATCTCTGGTAATTTCAAGGGCCTGTAAATAAGAACATTTTCAAAGCTCAGAATTATAAGCTTATTTCTTTTCTCTTTTTCTTCTCAGAATGAAATGGATGATGTGCCCTTCTTTGATATCCAACTGCCTTACGAATTAGCAATCAATATATTTCAGTATCTGGACAGGAAAGACCTGGGAAGGTGTGCTCAGGTAAGCTGTCATTAACTAATGTTCAAGATTTACCTACAGATATAATTAAAGTATAGGAGGCTCCTCCGTAATAGAATTTTACTTAACAGAATGACCAACTTTAAAGAATTAATGAATTGGGTAGCAACTTTACTTGAAGCAAAGCAACCTTGAACTTAAAGAATTGTGTTCCACATGGTCACTTGGTGTTTATCTTTTTGTGACCATGTGCTCAAGAGCTCTGTCCTCCCTGCAGTCTGAGTGATGGCTGACCTGTGCCTGTGAGCTCAAGGCTGACAGCTCTGCCTTACTGAGCTAGCCCCAGCTATTAATGTCCTTGCCGTTTTAATGCAAAGATGCGAGCCCTTGGTTTAATCAAGCCAGTCATCAGGTTGGGAGCAGAGGGTCAACCTGGGGACAAAACAGTGAAGTCATAGTTTTAGGCGTATAGTCCAAATTACTCTTTAAACACCAGAATCCCACTTGGTGAGGTGCGAGGCACATGAGACCTGAGACCCACTGAGGGAATTGCAGGTCGCTATCCCCCATCTCATGCTTACTCTGGGGCATGCGTCCATGCAGTGGAATGGTGGGAGATAGCGTCTGGGCCGAACTCTATTGTGCGCATAAATCACAGGGGATCTTGATAAAATGCAAATTCAGGTTCAGGAGGTCCAGGGTGGGGCCCGATTGTCTGTATTTCTAACCGGGGGGATGCCACTGTGGCTTTGGCATGCTTTGAAAGGCAAGGGTTTAGGCCATTAAAATTAGTCTCGTTCTCTTCTTTTTGGTGAAGAGTGTACAATTTCTCACAAGTTAAATATGTATGTAATTGCTGACCATTGGCTTTTCATGGACAGCTGTGTTCCCCAGAAGACACAGGAATATCCATTGTCCATAACTGCCAAAGAATTAATTTGCTTAGTGGTTACCATTTCCCACCCATGGATTCTAGAATGTATTTTACACAAGTGTCTGTGGGAAAGGTTTCAGTAAAATTGAGTGGTGGGAGAACCATACACTAAAATCCAAAGCCCCATCAAGAACGTGAAGTTAAAATATTAAGGTGGTTTGAGAGTGGCGAAAACTAGCCAAATTTAGACTTAGAGGTTCTATTTCTTTTTTTTTTTTTATCCTCATTCGAGGACATTTTTCCATTTTTTGTACAGACAGAGTGGGAGGGAGAGAGAGAGGGAAACATCGATGTGAAAGGGACACATCGAGTGGCTGCCACCCGCACAACCGACCAGGGCCGGGGACAAACTGCAACCGAGGTACATGCCCTTAGCGGGAACTGAACCCAGGTCTCTCCGGACCGCAGGCGGACGCTCTAACTGCTGAGCCAAACCGGCCAGGGCATAGAGCTTCTATTTCTATGGCAGTTCAGTAAAATCACACATAAAACAGGAGAAGTTAGAGAGTATCTGCTTTTATACTATTTCTTTATGAAGCATTTTTTAAAATCAAAATTACAGGGCCGGGCAAAAGTAGGTGTACAGTCGTTCATATGGAAAATAATACAAAAATTAATAAATAATAATATAGGAATAAACTCTGTGTTTCACATACTCACAACTGTAAACATACTTTTGCCCCACCCTGAATTTTTCTACTTAAATAGGAATTTGAAAAAGTCTTCAGTATTCTTGATTGCCACAGTATTATTATTGACAAGTCTTTTTGATGCAGAGTGTAGAAATCTTCGGGAAATTATGGAAGAAATTATTCAAAAGCTAAAATTCACTAAATAAAAATGTACTGAAGTGTAAACCTTGCTCAGAGCCTATCGATTACATTAAGTAAGAGTACCTACATTGTCTTCTTTCCCCTTGCAAACTGTATTTGTTATATTCTAACTTTACACATTGGCCTTGTTCCCAAGAGTTGAAAACAAGGGTGTAGCTGAGAGAGTCCAACTCCTGGATGTCAGCCTGATACTGTGAGCCGGAGTCTTGGAATAGGGTCTAATAGCTAGCTGCTTTCCACAAAGTCAGCATTCGATGATAAAATCTTCATTCTTGACAGGGAGCTGCTGTTTAAGGAATCTTTTCTTTAACATTGCTTTTTGCTCTCCTGCTTTGTAGAGGGCCATGTGGCTTTCACATCTGCTGCTGGTTTTCTCATCCAAAGAGTTTATCAGTGAAAGATAGGATCTAGTTAGTGGAAGAAGAGATCCCCCTTTTAGTACAATGGGGCTGCATTTCAGGGTAGATTGGTTATGCTGGTGAGATTATTCTGCAGGTGTGAACAGTTTAATTTGCAACACAGTAGTCCAATTGTCCACCAGAATTCTTTCCTCTTTGGCCAGTTGGATTTGTGTTATTGTTTTCTTAAACCTCATTTTTAGAGCACATGTATAAAAATAGAAACTATTTTAAACAGAACCCCTAAGGTGGCTCTGATTTGTGAAGCCAGAATATTTTTCATACAGCTGGTGCATGAAGATGACCATGGATGGCCAGTAATGTGTAGAGTTGGCTTTGTTTTTTTAAGCATTAAAATCAAACCACAAAGTAATAAAAATAAGTAGCATTTTCATTTGTTTCTCGTGGTGTTTTTATTTTTGAACCAGGGAAGAAGTCCTTCTGCTGAATAGACCACCCTGCTGCTTTATGGCTGGTTTAGGGGGCTCTCTCTCTGCCCGCTCCATCTCTTTCCTTCTCTTCTCATGCAGCCACCTTGGGATTTCAGTGAGACTGGGCCAGTTACGTGGAATTGGCACCATAAACTGTATGTGTGCCCTTGGAGAAAACCTGTTTGCTTAGATCTTTATGCCAAATTGGTAACTCACTCACAGTAAGGAGCCCTGATTGGGGAGGACTTTTGAGATTTAATTATGCCACAGACTATGCTGGAAAACTGATTTTGCTCTGACTGTGTCTCCTCTCTGCATCTACTCTCCTTTTCTACTTTGTGAGGCTTTCTGCTTTCAAATCTAAAGCCCGGCCACGCTGGTGGTTCCTGTGTGTGCTGACCTCTCTAGCTCCATGCTGTCCATAGATGTCCCTCGAGGGACCTAATGTCTCTGTGGGAGTGCATTGTGCTAAAATATCTCGGAGTGTCTTTTAGTAAGCAGTTATGCAATGGGTAATTCATTGAACAGCTTTATTGTCTTACTATTTATAATTTTATGTTCGTTTTATTGTGTGTACACACAGGATGCCTGGCACTTTGAAGGATAATATTTTTAAATGAATAACAATTACAAAATTGTCAATTTCAAAACTATGAAATTGTTTGGTTTTTATGAGAAGGGAAAGTGCACTGTTATTTACTACATGAATGATTATGAAAAGTAAAGGTTTTTAGGTATTTACCAACATTCATTTTTAAAAACTTAATTATAAATTTGCAGGAAGTTGCAAAAAATAGCAGAGAGGTCCTGTGTACCCTTTCCCCAGTTTCTTCTGTTGGAGGAACAGTATCAAAACCAGGAAGTTGGCATTGGTGCAATCTATGGAGCTTATTCACGTTTCACCAGTTTTCCATTCAATTACATGTGTGTGCATTTAGTTTTGTGCAGTTTTATCACAGGTGTGGGTTCGTGTGACCACAGCGAAGACACAAAGCATTCATCAACACGGCTGTCTTTACTGCCCTTTTATAGCTAGTCACCTGTTTTCTCGCCCCCGTTTCCAACCCATGGCAACCGTTAATCAGTTCTCCACGTCTATGATTCTGTCCTTTTTAAATTTCATTTTTAACATATATTTTAGTTATGTGTATTTCCTGATGTATAATTTTAGAAGTTTAGCTGCTAGGTAGCAATAGCATGTTTTTTCAGGCAAAAGGTAGAAAATTGTGCATAAAGAAAGCAATAAAGAAAAAGAGGCAAGATGTGGAGGTCTAAAATGTAAGATTTATAGTAAAATTGGTACTCAAGAAGTAGATATTATCAAAATAAATAAGTAATTCTGTCACTAAAACTAGTATATTAGATGATGATATTTCAAGTTTCAAGGAAAATGTGATCTTACTATTTTCCCAGATGTCCAAATAGGAGAAACTAGAAGTTGAGGTTTTATCGTTAAAGATCTTAATGAAGTCTTTAAAAGTCGGGATTCCATAGCCAAGCGCAGCTACATTGATTTTCATAGCAGAAATGATTCTTAAGAACTGTCTTTGCTGGCAGGGATCTCTTAGTTCTTAACTCTCAGCTTGGCTACCAGACTTCTCTCTCGAGGAGATTTGTGTAGGCCTGAGACCCAGGTACCCTCAGGAGTGTCCTTGTACTTCACCAAATTGCAGCGCCTGCCTCCTTTACATGGGGCTATGGAAAAGCAAATAGCTCTAGAAGAAAAGGCAGGGAGCTGGATGAAACAAGAATGGCAAAGTAGTGTTGATGATCGTTTCAACCGAGTGCTGGGTGCTTGAGAGTATACTCTTTATGCTCTTCACTTTACTTTTGTGTGTTTGAAGTTTTCCTTATTAAAATGTTTAAAAGAAAAAAAAAAGCAGAAAGCAAGAGATTGTATTTGAATAAGAACATCAGAGCCCTGGCCGGTTTGGCTCAGCAGTTGGAGCGTTGGCCTGCAGTCCAGAGAGACCCAGGTTCGGTTCCCACTAAGGGCACGTACTTCGGTTGCGGTTTGTCCCCGGCCCTGGTTGGATCGTGTGGGTGGCAGCCACTCAATGTGTCCCTTTCACGTTGATGTTTCTCTCTCGCTTCCTCGCTTTTCTTCCCACTCTATCTGAACAAGAAATGGAAAAATGTCCTTGGGTGAGGATAAAAAAGAGAACATCAGAGCTTCCTGAGGGCAGCACATGCTAGAAGCTGACTTTTGAAAATACAAGCAATTCAGTTTTGTAATGTGTTGAATTTTTTAAAAAGTTAAACTTCTTCTCATTCAGTTATTTAGAGGGCTTGCTGTGTGCCATGTACTGTTCTAGACATACAGAAAACAAATAGCAAATGGCAGACATTAAAGCTCCCTTATCAGTAATTACATTAAATGTAAACAGACTAAGTAGTCTAGACAGTGAGTACTGCAGTGAATAAAAACATTTAAAAACCTTTCTTT